CAGATGGTTGAAGAAGAAAAAATGGCTTTGGAAGAATATCTGAAGGACAATGATGAAGATGCACTGAAATTAGTATATCAGGAAGGCTTACTGACTACTGGAGAGACCAAACTGGCCTACAAGAAAGACCAAATGAAGAACAGAATAGAGGCATGGGAAGACAAAGCACTACATGGCCAATACATGAAAAAAATAGCTGGGAAAGCAGATAATAATAAAACCTGGCAATGGCTAAGAGCAGGAAAATTGAAGAAAGAGACGAGGGACTAATTCTGGCTGCACAAGACCAAGCCTTAAGGACAAATGCATACAAAGTCAAAATTGAGAAGACAGCAACAGACAGTAAGTGCCGCCTATGCAAGAAGCTGAAGAAACAGTGGACCACTTGGTAAGCTGTTGCAAGAAGATTGCACAGACTGATTACAAGCAGCGGCATGACAAAGTAGCAACAATGGTGCATTGGAAGATCTGCAAAAAATATCATTTGCCGGTAAGCAAAAACTGGTGGGATCATAAAATAGAGAAAGTCATAGAAAATGATAAAATTAAACTGCTCTGGGACTTCAGAATTCAAACAGACAAGCACTTGCAACATAACACCCCAGACTTAACAATTGTCGATAAGAAAGACAAAAACGTCTGGATAGTGGACGTGGCAGTGCCTGGAGACAGCAGAATAGAAGAGAAAGAACTGGAGAAGATAACAAAATACAAAGACCTACAGATAGAAATAGAAAGACTGTGGCAAAAGCAAGCAAGGGTAGTACCAATAGTAATAGGCTCCTTGGGTGCAATCCCAAAACAACTGGAGCACCACTTGAACACCATTGGCATAGACAAATTCGCTATTAGTCAATTGCAAAAGGCGGCCTTATTAGGAACTGCTTCCATCCTGCGATGATATCTGTAATACCATCAAACATCCACATCTGCTATCCCAGGTCCTGTGTAAGGACTCGATAGGTAGACAAAATGCCAAATCCAGTCTGAACATCTGGCTGACTGTGCGATGATCCTCAATAATAATAATAATAATAATAATAATAATAATAATAATAATAATGATGATGATGATGATGATGATAAAGTTGGAAGGCACCTTGGAGGTCATCTAGTCCAACCCCCTGCTCAGGCAGGAAACCCTATACCATTTAGGACAAATGGCTGTCCACAGCACTTCCACTGCTTTAATCACTTTATCAAAAAAAGCAATAAGGTTTGCCTCTAGATTCTCCACCTTCTCTTCCAGCAATCCAATCAGTTTACACGATGCAGGTATAATTTGAGTTTTCCATAAGCAGGAATATAACAATGGCACAAACCTTGCAGGACACTAGCCTCTTTACCCATGATTTTGGTATTGTCCATATAAATGCTCCCAATAAATCCAAGGCAAACAAAAGTTTTAGATCCAAGGCAAAAGTTTTAGATCCAAGGCAAACAGAATATTGTTATCTATATTTTCAATATATATCACATGGATTTTGCTTCCAGATGTTGAAAACAACTTCCTTTACTGTTGACGAATCTTATAGGTCCTTTGAATATATCTATTGTCACCTTCTTCAAAAGAGTTGGTCAATCAAAAGGATATCTGATTGATGTGTTTTTTAATTCATGGATATAAGTAGTTTGAGCTTTCCCAATTCCATCTCCTTATAAATATTCTTTTTTAAATCAATATCCACATTATCTCAGTTGCATCCCAGTTACCACATGGTGGCTAAGAGAGTTATGCTCCTGCCTCTCTTTCCCTAAGTTTCTTTAGGAAGAATTTGATCTATTGCAACAGAAGCTCAATCGGTCATCCAGATTTTGTATATTTCTACCTCGTAGCTTTATTCTTAGAAACCACACAGACAGATCTTCTCCAGGATGATCTGTCCCTACCCTGGCCTATTCAGGTCATCCAATAGGCACCCATTCTAAGGTCTTTATAATTACCCTATCAAGTGCTAGTCTGTGGTATATTTCTTGACTGCTACTTCGTTTACTGTCGATAGCTTAATCCTAAAAGGCAGAGCTACTCACTATTTGTTTGTTTGTTTGTTTATATTTTTATTTTGTATTTATTTATTTTATTTATGTAATTGTTATTAGTATGGTTATTAGTATAGTCTTTTAATATTTAATCTTAGCCCATTTTTCACTACTCCTTTTAGTATTAGAGGTTTCAAATCATTTCCGTTTTCAGCCATTAGGGTAGTCTCATCAACACCGAGCAGCTTATTGATCTTTCCTCCTCCGAATTCAAAATCATGTTCATCTTCTTCCAATTCAGCATCTTTCAATATACATTTAGCATACACATTGAATGAATATAGAATATACAGCCTTCATTCACTTATTTTTGACCTAAAGCCAGTCTTTTTGCCATATTCTGTCAGGACTATGGCTTCCTGACTATGTATAGATTTGACATGAGAACAATCATATTTTTAAAATATATTCCACATGGTCAACATGACTGAAGGCCTTTCTGTAATCAGTGAAGTCCATATTAGCTTTTTTGTATTCTTTGGCTTTCTCAATTATTGGGCAATTAGCAATAATGGTTCTTGTTCCTTAGCCTTTTCTAAAACTAGGTTGAACACCTTTCAATTTACACCTCTAATCTGTATTAGATGATCATGCTAGAAATAATCCTCCTTGTTTGAGTAGAATTGTGTCACCAGTGAACTCTTCTTAAATTTCTAGGAACTTTGGATAGGTATCTACATTTAAAACAGATTTTCTATCATTGTACAAAAACATCTGCATACACTTCTAAGAATCTTAGTTTAGCTTAGCTTTTCAATAGATGTACTCATTCAGAAAAAATCATAAAATACAGAGATGTCTGAAAGTCACAGAAAATTTAAGGCAAAGTTTAATCAAAAACTCCAACTTTGTTCTAAGAATTTTCTTATTAATTTTAAGGGTTTTGTCAATTAAAGACTAACATCAAAGGTAATCCCATTTGTCCTTACAAAAATACATCACCTAGGAAGAGAAATCCTGATTGGCCCAAAGTTATATAAGAAGTTTAATGATGAACAGATTTCAATCAGGTGTTCTTGGATAAAATCCAGTATTTTATCCCCACATACACACACTATGTTCCTCCCCACATACACACACTATTATGAGTTATACAGGTTACTCTGGAGCTCCTCTTAGTATGGCTCAATCAGGGTTTCTCATTACATGGAAGAATACATCGATGCACATCTAGTCTTCTGGCCTCTTTATTCTTGCAGTACACATGAGGATAATTTGAACCTTCCCTTACTTCACCAATTAAATGGAATATTTGGTAATTAATGAACTTGCAGCAGATTGTTAAGTGGCCCAGATATGATAGTACCTGCTCAATAAACATGCTTAAAATGAAAGAAAACCAGATGATATGTGAAAGCGGCAAACAAAATGAGTTTGGGGCTATTAAGGTTTTGCTAAAGAAATAGAGAAATTTGAAGAATGCATCACTAAGAAGAAAAAGTATAGGCAAGGATAACTATGGCAGAAAAAGTACACTTTCTAAAAGTACACCCTCATATCTAAATCATGACATACAAGCTAGCATTTTCTTAGCAAATTTTGATCATCGTTTTAATGCTCAAGGTGGGGATAATGATAAAAGATATTTCTCCCACATTTTCCTTGTTTAAAGGAAATGTATATGAGCTTAATCCAATATTCATAGAAATGTATTTAGTTGGTTTTTTAGACTGATTAAAAATCCCAGATCTATGATTTTGTCATCTGAATTGAGATAAATCTACCCAAAATCCAAAACATGCCATGTCTTGTTTTTGTTTTATTTTATTTTGTACTGTCTACAGGGTTTTTCTCCCAATTTTCTGGATATCTTTCAGGTATATAAACCAACCTGAAAATAATGAAACTTAGTGTGCAGGATGGATTAATCAAAATCTAAAATCACATTTCCACTTTTGTGAAGACATTTTTTGAGTTATAAACAATGCATGCTCTCAAAGCGTCCTCTGCTGGTCAAAATGCAAAGCCCATATTGTGAATGTTATTTAAGATACTACGATAGAAAATAAAATTTATTATTGCTTTGTTGTTTTTGTTACTAAACTACATTTTTCACTCTAAAAATTCATTGATGGTGGGACTAAATTTCATGTATAGGTTGTTAGTTAAGTTTATAGATACTTTGAATAATATCCTGTTTAACAGTGAGAATAATACCCTGCTTGCGAGAATTACAGATTCAAGATGTATCTGCATTAATATTTTAGATCCTCTTATCTGTTATGGGAATCCCTTGCACTGAATTCCATAACTAATTCTAGTTTTGACCCACAGATGTATAAATACAATAGGAGATGGCATGTTAAAATTTCATGCTATGTTAATAAATTTATAACAAGCAACTCTGCTGGTTCCACTGCTGCCACCATGCTATATCACAAACTGCCAAACAGCTAATCAGTGCACTGGGCATCACGGCTGAGCTCTGCTTTCAATTGAGTTGCAAAATTCAGAAAATGTAACAATTTCATGAACCAGAACAAGCCATCTGCAACACACCACTGTTTCTGTGGCATTTGTACTGTATGCATAGCAGAGGTTATTTTATTAAGTTTTTAAAGTTTTATGTGTCTTCATGAATTTGTAATAATAGAAATAAGGATCTCAGCAGAATGTGGTCTACTAGGCTGTTGAAATTAAGTTATTTCCTTTCAGAACATTTGTTCTGATTGTTATGGGGGGAATGAAATTTGTATCCCTTTGTTTTTCTTTATGATTGTGCATGGATTTGGCCACCTGATGAAACTTAAATGGAAAAGGCAGCACAAAAACATGTTGGCATTCCAGAGAGGCATTGCTACCTTTATTTTTAGCAAGCAAGTAGTAATCTTGTTGAATCTGCCATGTAAATAGTTCTCTCTCTCTCTCTCTCTCTCTCTCTCTCTCTCTCTCTCTCTCTCTCTCTCTCTCTCTCTCTCTCTCTTATTATTATTATTATTTTCTTCTTTTTTATCTTTCAGATATGAACTCCTTCATTATCCCCTGTGAGGAAGAAGAGGAGGAGGAGGAAGAAGAAGAGAAGGAAAAGGACTACAGTAATACTGATAAAGAAGAGGCTTATGATGACATAGAGAGTTTTGATACCCCAAGTGTAACATTTAGTCAGGATTTCACTTTGGACCTGGACAAAGAGGAACCCATGGTGCAGGAGAAAGAGTGCATTTATGAAGTTCTTCCAGGTGAGTCATTCAAGTCAGGAATACAGGAAGTTTTAGTTTTAACCCATTTGTAGGGCAGTACTTTGGAGAAGACTACTCAGATAGTTTACTTAAGTTTACTTATATTTTAAAGAACTCTTTTGTCAATGAAATATTTTACTCGAAATAATTTATACAAAACATCATGCTTATACCAATTTGCAACTAAAAATCAGTAAAAAAAAAGTCAGGTTAGAAATATGTACGAATTATCTCAACTGGCTGAAAAAACAATTAAATTATTTGAAAATACAGAATGACATATATCACCGGATTACTTTCTCTGGTCTTTATTTTACATATGGCAGGCTTTTCTACAAATTTTGGGCCAATAATACACCTAAGCTATATGCTGAAAATAAGCACTTATCACCATGTTTAGTTTTGGTGCATTCTAGTTTCCTGAAATTATTGATCCTTTCAGTTTTATGTTACTTTCAGCATGAAATCAGAAGTATAATCAAGAGGATTCTATGAAACAAGCTTTCAGTCTCCCATTTGTAAAATACATCTGAAATTGATTAAAATTGTTCTGACTATTTGCAGTATAAAGAGCTAGGAACATGAATTTGTAGAAAAGCCTGCCTGCCATATGTTGGCAAGTCTAGTCCAGTTGGTGCTTGACTTATTGTCAAATAGTTGAGTACAGAGAATTGCAGCTAAGAACTGAGTATCTCATCCCAATCTCAAGTTCCACTTGAATCATTCCCAAGCTAGCATCCTGTCCCTCTGTTTATTAAAACAAAAAAATAAATTGTTAAAATGTTCCCTATCTTGCAGTTCATGTATTACTGCACAAATTATACATTGCTTTGCAAAAACATATCATAGGTAATTTGAGGGAACACTTTTCAGTTCAGAAATGTAAGGACTTACAAATATAGATAATTGCACTGAAAAACCTCCCAATGGGAAACATCATGGCAGCAAATCTCTATTGTCTTTCAAAGCCCAACATGTATTATTGCTATACCAGTATGTCTCAAAGATGCTTTTTCAAAAGGCAATAGTACTTTTTTTTTCCTTGACAAAATGTTTTGCTTCTTATCCAAGTAACTTCATCAGTTCTGGCAGGATGGTGCTGGCAATGGAAGGATTAGTTCTGACAGAATGAGGGGAAGGGAGTTGGAATGATCATATTTCTTTGCGGTCATCTAATCGTTAGCACTCTCTCTGAGAGCTCTTGAAGCCACTTATCTGTCCTCTCAGGGTCACATGTATCAGAGTGCAAATGGGGGTTGAATTTTCTTGAAACTGCTGAAAGGACTGTGTTGTAGACAGGAGATAGGCGATGTCTTATCCTTTCCCCTCTTTTGAGAGAGGGCTGCTCAATGTTAACGTAAACAACCTTTTTACCTGTCCTTTAAACCAATGGTCCTCTCTGTCCAGAATGTGGACTTTCTTAGTCTGTGGACTGAGAATCTCCACAGACATTTGCTATACCAGTACTTATCCATTTGGTATTTTCACCTAATTATGCCAATGTATTGCTAAGATTAGAGCTCAAATGGTTGGTAAGAATCTATGCCAATGGGAGGAGAAACTACCCCATGACACATGAGAAAGCCATATGTTACTGATTCTGAAGCTGCACTTTTTGGGCTAAGAGAGCATTTCCCTGTTCAAGGATTTTAAAAAAGTATTGTTACAAGGATAACTCATGTTCTTAAATTCCCAGTGTTGATGTCATGTGATTGTCAGAATGGGGTTCATATTGCCCCAGTGCCAAAATATTAATACTAAGGCTTAGCTGTTCTTTGGAAGGCCTCTGAAAAGACTGTTTATGTTGTTCCAAAGAGGAAAGGTGCACTTTATCCTCACACAAATTGAATATCATTGAAAACTGATTGTAAAAAAGGTTTCAGATTAGGGATTTTGAAAGCTGAGATTCATGGGATACTGAATTCTGTGAAGTTTATTTGTATCAATATCTGATGGAGTAAAAAAATAAATGGAACTCTTGGGGTAAACAACACATAGAGGCATAGATATATCTGTATAAATGAGTAATGTCTCTATAAGCAAGGGCAGTGCTGAAGCCAAGGCAATAAAAAATATGACAAATAATGCAGAAGTTAATTTTCTTAAAAGAAAATTATTATCTTTGTTTTTACATTGTGTGAGCAGAACTTATTTGAAATAATAGATTTCTAAATTAGGCAACAAAATTATTGATCATACATGAATTAAACAAAGAGAGCAACTATTTGGGCCTGCAAACAAAGCTTTTTGACTCTTATGTCTCATAACCTGTTATAAATCATTCCTCTATCCCTGCTGGTACATTTTAAATGCAAGAGAGAGAGTTTTCTAAGTTATTAAGGAAAATGTTCATTAAAACTATTTCTTAAATTTCCTGATTACTCATTCGGCTATAAGATGAAATCATAATGATAGGTTCATTCATGCTAATCAGCACAACCAAATTCATAGGAATATTCGTTCTCTTTTCTCTTAATATGAGGGGGCAAAACTAAGACAATAGGATTAGTAATCCACACTAAATCATCATTCTGCCCAGTGCACATGGAGAATGGCAAATTTGTTCCACCAGTCTGATTAGGATTTCTTGGTATCTTGATGCAGGATAATCTGCATATCAGTTTCATTCTGTATATAGAAAGAACTTACATTTCCATACATGCTCATATCTTTTCTTGTGTGTGTAACACAGCCACACAAAAGGGTCTAGACATCTTCCAAATGAGGATTCCAGGATCAGAGTGGAAAGTCTATTTTGAAGCTCCTTGGGAATTATAACTTCTTCTTTGTAAAGATATTTATTGAAATAAGAGAAAATAAGAAAGAGAGCAACCACACGAGGGGAAAAAACAATTTGCTAGGGCTATAGTGGATCCAGACTCCTTGTAGCTAACTCTGCAAAGTCTAAAGTATCTGGTATACAAATCACTGCACATATGAAAAACTTAAGTCACACATTATAAAAATCCATGGGCTCTCAGACAAATATTTTGGGCAAGAATAGCAATTTGATAAGGATAAAGAATCTGGCAAGCTCATTTCTGAGACCCAAGGACTAGCTTTCAGGCCTTGGCAGCATTCCTTTCTGTCAGTCCCAATCCTTCAGACATGATGCAGGGTCGCTGCAACAAAGGTCACAAGAGTACTGCATCTTTGAACTGAATACCAGAATAGGGAGAAGAACCATGCTTTTCTGTATACTGATTCATGTAGAAGTCATAGATTCTTCATCTAGCTTTTTTTCAATGTCCTCTCAGGGGTTTTTCTCCCTCTCCTCGAAGCCCTAAGTAGAAGAAAAGGAAAAATAGATTCTAAGTGCTATCACCATCTGAAAAAGACAAAATAGAATGAATTTTACAAAACCTTTTAGAGAAAATTTTTTCTCTGATTCCAGTGCAAAAGATAATTAATAAAGAAGGATAATGCACTTTTGTCCTTTGGGTATTCTACACCTCATGGACAAAGTTAGGATTTTCCAATTCTGCATAAATATTAATATTTAAATAACACGCTCTGTCAAAAGAAGGTCTTTCCTCAAGGACCACACACTTTACAGTATCTTTGCTAGCATTTTTTTTAATGGTTGCAACATAGAATAAACATTTTTTTTCCAAGGTATTACTTAACCATCTGATGAAAACTTCAGAAGAAAGATTCTGGAAAAGAAATTGGTTACTTCCATCCTGCATTTGAATCTCTAAGTTACAAACCACCTTTGGAAATAGAATAATTATTGTGAACATGATTTTCTATTCTTACCTTATTCTTCATTCATTATTATAAGAGAAAAATGACTAATCTACAGTTATTTTTTTAGTTATTTAGTTAGGATCCTCAGTTTGAATTTTTGTGTCCATTCTATGGAAGTACTAGCTATTTTGAATTCAGGAATGATCTCAGTGAGATTTGATAAATAAAAACATAGACACTTCTGGGTTTTTTGGGTTTTTTTTAAAGTATCTATACTTTCCGAGGTCAGCAATCTAACTGACAGATCAAACAAATATTTAATAATTCAGTGCCTATGAACTGTACCCTAGAATTAATAAGTACTTACAATCCTGACATCTCTTAAAGAATAGCACCCAACCATTTGATTGTCAAGTACATGCATGGACTTTCACATCAGCTATATGGATATGGAGGATAAAGCTGTGGATAGTAACATTTCACATCAGTCTTTATTTCACAATCAAATTACTTCATTTATTGGGACAAGAGCATAACTTTAAAAATAAAATACTCTAAAGATGCTCAGAAGCACTAATATCATTACTCTCTCATACATGCCAGCTCAGATTTAAGTTTTAAAAAGCTCTGGTAGTTGTGGCAAATTAGATCCCTCCCATGAATCTGATTGAAGATTTCTCATGCCTCTCTTCATCCCACTTTTTTTCCTATCCTACCCACCCCACTCTTCAACCTGGAGATTTTAAAGACATTGTGAAGCCATATCTCCATGCTGTTTACAACTGCACAACCCTTCCATTCATACAGTATATCCCTTCCCCCAAGTCTCCAACTGATATACTGAAGTAGGCCTGCATTTGGGGCAGATCCTCCAAGGAGCTGTGTTTTAATGTTGCAATTTGATTCAATTTTCCACTCTATAAAATTACCCATCATTGTTCGTTGCTTCCTAACAGACACCTTCACTCTTAATTTAACAATCCTATCGAATTCTGCCTCGGAAATTGGAAAAATTTATCACCTGTGAAATTTTATTTTTCCTTGGTTGTATCTGTTTTTGTAAAACTTCATTAGCAATGATGACTTGCTGAGGAAATTATCTTTCTGACTCTCTCCTTCTTCTAAGCAGCTCATTCTGTTCCATTCTTAAAAAACCATTCAAACACAACTGAGAATTTTATTTGCATAATAAAAAGCATGCCACACAAACCCAGAAACAAATAAAAAAATGTGTCTGCTGAGTTTTTGGGGTTCCTGCAATAATCAGACCAGTGGCTCATTTCAAATTTTATCCTTTCTTCTGATGACTA